GGGGGGAGAAAGAGCTGTGTGTTAGACATTTAAGTCAGCCATGACTCCCAATGTAACTAGGAGTTATCAACCAGTTACATCCTAACATATAGACATAAAAGTGGATGTCAAACACAGCAGTCCTGCTGCTGAATATCCTTTAGGCTGGCAATTTTAATTTCACTGTCCTTCATAAAACCAAACAAAAATTGTTTACCAAATAACCCAGCAAAATATTTCCAGCACTGTTGTTCTTAAAAAAAAAAAAAAAAAAAAAAAAAAAAAAAAAAAAAAAAAATCCCCCCCCCCCCACAAAAAAAGTTCAAAAGTTGTCAAATATTTTAGACTTATCAGCATCTAGATTTCTCAGATATATTTTGAGGATGCAACTCTGCTACAAAATTCACTGTTGACAAACTAAGCATATTAGCTGGGAGCTATTTTTGTTAATAACAACAATAACCACCTGCAATTATCATTCTAATCAGCAACAGGAAAGCAAAAAATTACAGATTCATAGTTTGCATTCCAGTTGTTCAGGTCAAATTTCGGGAAATAGCTAACTCAAATAGTAAACAAATATATTTGATTAGTTCTGAAGCAAATTACAGTAAGCTTAGTAGACATGGCTATAATTAAGGGTAAAAGGAATAACCCAAAACACTGAACTACTGTAGAACCCTAGTTTTATATGTTAAACCGTTCAGAACTATTAATTTTCTATAATTAAATGACTAGTCTCAACATAAATGCTAATCTCTGAGAAACTGAATCATCAAGAAAAATGCTTCAACTTGCCGTTTAGCTGGAGAAGGAAAACATAGAGAACTGCTTAAAAATATTCCCCCCAAACCGGTCTTTTTATTTTCATCTTCTCCAAACAGGACAATAACAACTGAAGCACAATGTGAAGCCAGCCAACATAACAGAGGTAAACTATGAAATCTACACACATGTAGAATCTTTCCATCTTTCTGGGAAGCTGTTTCAAAATACCCTCCAAGCAGGTGGATAAAAGCCTGAAATATTTCCCACACTTGTGACCTCCCACTAAACAAACCAAACCAACCAAACAATCCCCAAACTCCATTTCAGATAAGTTACTCAGATACTGGGGTACCTGTTTGCACACAGATACCCCCTTCTGGGTCCAGCTGTGTCAGAAGATGTTAAAAATGCCAGTTCACTCCTAAACCAGTTCTCAATCTGGTTGCTTGAATGGAGCTGCTTGGTTTAATGTACTTCCTAATTACTTGAGTTAAAGTGAGTCAGACTAACAAAGACCTGCTTCTTAAGCCCAGTAAAGTAGCCCCCACGCATTTTGACTGATGCAGGTTACTGAGCACTCACACAAGCTGCTCAGCCAGCAGATGTGAAAGGCCATTAGCTGCCAGCAAAGGAGATGGCAATGGAAAGTCCAGACAGACTGACAAGGACAACTTTTTATTTACACAATACAACCATTTGCAAAATTTACTTATCTGTCTATGATCTTACTTTATTTTAAAACCGTTACACTAAGACTTAAAAGTTGCAACAATCTCCTTCTGGGGAATAGGAATGGGGAGTGTCAGTGGGTGGAAAGGAAGACTAGAGAGGAAAAAAAAAAATAGAGAGTCCATTGATTTATGAGACCATAGACATGCATCATAAGAAAACCACTACTTAACCTGCATTACAAAGACACTGGTCATCAATCACTTGGGCAACTTGGTCACGATAAGTCACAAGCATGCAGTGCAATAATATGGTAGACAGACACCGTACGGATTGACCAAGCAATGCTCTTTAAGAAATGGAAACTTCCATTTTATAAGAGAACGGTAAAATTTTACAGAAGTGCCCCAAAGCACAACTGAGTGTTTTTATAGTTGATAGTATTGTTTGCTTTCAGAAAATTTGAGTAGTACTGCAACCATTCCTATGAAATTGCAGCCAACTTCCTTCCTAAAATAAAGACCTATACCTGTTCCAGTGTTTCCCAGGAACTCCCATGTTTCTTCTGACTTCGTATCCTTGTTACATTCGTCAGAACTGCTACTCTTACTTCTCGAGTCCAATGTGACATGGACCCCCACTCATTTATTCATTGATTTTCAATGCTCTACTGGTTACTTTTGCAGATTGAGCAGACCCTCCAGTACAGCAGGGCTTATACTGAATTGGATGTGAGGACTAGATGCAGAGGAAGAACGAAGAATAGAAAGAGTAGGGCAAGCTGAGTAAAGCTGTGAATGCTGGGTGGAAGAAAAAGCAATTAAGATAGGCTGAAGGATGAAAATACAGGTAAATAAGATAAGAGAAAAAGTAGAAACACAAAAGGAAGAGTTGGAAAGAAATTTTTCAAGAGAAAGGTACGGACAGAAAAACAGATAGGTTGAAGCCCTCCCCCAACAAACGCAAATGAATGAAATGCCCCCAGATGACTGAGGAGATCTCAGATTATTTGAAGAAGCACCACAGGAGATGGAGTCACATACAAGAAAGAACACAAAGGAACAGTGGCAGTGTATTTGTAAGATCAAAGGATGAGAGCTTTTTATTTAAGAGAATAATATTCATAACACAAGGTACCCAGCTAAGACATGGCAGTTCTTATTATCAGGCTCTTACACTTTAATATGAGCAAACTGTTTTTAAATCAAGGCCTCAGGGATAACTGGTATAAGCAATCTTATTCTGTGCATTTGCCTTGGTAAATGGTATCTTGGCTGAGTCTTGTTTAAATACAGAAATATAATTCTGTAACACAGAATGGAAACGATACCTCCAAGGCTAATCACTCTTAAATAGCCCTATCAGCCCCTCAAAATTCATTTGAAATCCAACTTAATTTCTACCTTGGGAAAGTTTTATTATTTAGTTAATTGTAGCACAACAATAAATCTCTCAATAGCAACCACGCGAACAACCCCTGACACTGTTTTCCTATACTGATCTCTGTTTTCTCAGTGGTAAAATCTGTACGCTAGCACAAGCACATAGAAAGAGATGCAAAGACTTTTGGGGAAACATGCATGCCTTCTGGTGCTGTCCAACAATTTAGAAAGATCAAAACAACCCAACTCCCAGCTCGGCAGAATAATCTGCCAAGAGAAGTGCTATGTGTTGATGTAAGGAAATTTTTTGTTTGTTTTTTAAAAAAATCATCTAAAGTTCTAAATTCAATGCCATTATCTCTCCTTACAACTTCAGTAAAAACTTAAGCATCTCTGCCAGTTTGAGGTTTTTATCACATAAACACTTGATCTTGGATGACAAAAACAAGTAAAGTTTATGAAGAACACTGAAACTTGGTACAACTGTTTAGTGACAATTTAGCATCAGCCTAGCAGCAGCACTAACATCTCACCAGGCTGCTGCAGCAGATACCTTACATTAACGGCAGTGCACATTAAAGAAGTCATGCTTGTGCAATTAGTTAATTAAAATAAATATGATAATCCTGCTGCTGCAGAGACCTGCCACTTAATCAATTATTCAAAAATCATCAATTAAAACAAACATTCAGCTATTTGTATAATCAGCTATATGTTTACAATAGCAACACAAACAAAGCTGAGCACTGTTTATAAATCATTGACAAGATGGATCAAAAAGTATGGTGTTATCCACCTACAAACCTAGACAGGAGAAGTTTTCCATAAAGTATCTCAAATTATATCCAACACCTGCACAAATTATGCCCTGCACTTGCATCATAAGGAGCTGCTAACTAGATTCAACCAAGCTACATTTATATATCAAAATGACCTGTCCTAAAAGAAATTGATTGTAAAGTCAAACATTTACATAATTAGGAATGCCAGAAAACGAGTGAAACTTTGTTTCCCTTGTGCTACAAATACACATTACATGGTGGCAACTACTTGATCACATGCTATTTTTCCATAGACCCTTTAGATAATTCACATGCACACACCAGGCAATCCTCTACTTCAGAAGCTCCTATATGATGGCACATGCATGATCTTTTCAACTCTCCTCAAATACTTCTCTGAAGATGTTGTAAATTCTGGAGAAAAACCCAGTACTAAATTAATAATTCTAAATGCCTCACACTTTCATACCTTCCCACTGAAGTGGAAGAGCAGGATTAGCAACATCTCACTCATGCACAACACTGCCTTGAAAAGTATCCACTAATTTGGTGGCATATTTGACAATGGTAAAACCAGAAAGTTCAAGGTATAGAGTTTATTAATATGAAATCTTAATGCTCCACACTTCGGTAAAGCACACCTCATTATCTTAAGCTACACACCCAGAAGACAAGAGGCACACATCTGTGGATTACTCACATTTAGGTTAAAAGACTCAAATGACAAATATCAAATGGGAACTCTGTGACAGACGCATGGAAAGATGTTAGAAACTAACCATCAACTTCCCTGACAAGGACATTTCCATTCTTTTTGTGAAATCTGTCTGTATTATTGGCTACAGACCAAGGCTTAACAAAATTAAGAGATGGTCTTAGGAATTACAAATTTCCCTGAATGTTAATCTCCAGATCATGACAGTGAAGTTGGATCCTTTGCTAAAAGAAGTATTAATATCCAGTCACATCCATCACAGTGCACCAAGAGTCTCAGTGTGAGGGTTCTGTGGCCAACAGCAGTACTGGCCTTTTAATGTGGGATGTCATCACTCTGGCCTCTGTAAGCACAGCCAGAGGTCAGAACTTTTAGACCAACACCACAGAAGTTCGCCACTTCAGCTAATAAAAAAACCTGATAGCACAGCCAGGCTGTTATTTAGCTAGTGGACTAGCACAATAAAGGAATAGCACATTTCACCAATGGACTTTACAGATAATTGCGACATCTCCATTCTTTTACTTAACCAGCCCTCATCTTCACTTTTTACACACTTCATCCCAGTTGAAAGCAAGTGAAAATAGTCTGAACAGAAAGCATTAGACAGTCTTAAAGAATCTGATCACTGTAAGAAGTAGCAGCTTTGGAGATTACATACCAAACATACTTTGCACAGCTAGACTAATCAAACTGAAGTATTACTTACTGAGAACCTTAAATCTATGGAAAGATGGACCTCAGCATCAGCAACAGAATCACCTACTAGTAGTACTCAAGATGCCTATGCTGTACATTCAGTTACCCTTGTCCAGAAGTCTAAGGAGCTTCCACACTACATATGCTAAGTGTAAAGTCAGTGGTGCTGCATTCTCCACAATGAATTAAGCCAATCTTGGAAGACCCAGGAGGATCTTTGCTGATCCTAGTAAGCAGAACTTCCTTGGCAAACAGTCCTTCAGAATTAAGAGTTAATAGGTCTTTAGCAGCAGACCATAAAACTGGACAGATTCTGGCAGGTTTTTCTCTAGACACACAAGAGTGCCCATTCTTTGTCACTGAACTCTGAGCATATCGCACCAAGCCAAAATAGCACACAAATGTGTCAAGTCAAACTGCCTTTCTTCAGCTCTATCATTTTGCTGTTTGAATCTAACAAGCATCCTTTGTGATACATAGGTATCCCTTCCCATACATACAGGTCTCAACAAATGTCATTTCTATAGGCATCTTTCTATACCCTCTATGCTCCTTTTTTGCCTTTCTCAAGCTAACTACAAGGAGGAAAATTCAGAAAATACAGCATCTGGTCAGATCCTGGAACAAATTCAGAAGCCCAGTGGAACTGATGAGCAGCTAATACACATTCTTTGCTAAAACTATGAACTGTCAACCTCATCAGCTACGGATGCATGAGGAAAGACTAACAGTACTCAAGGACTCTAGAAACTCACTGAATAAGGAATAAAAATATTATTTGAATGATGCAATTAGTCCAACTTCTTTATTTTCCACCCTCTCAAGCCTCAAGGCTCACCTGTGCAATCTGTATTGGCTGAGATAGAGGGATCTGCGTCATCGGCGTTGCAGCAGAGGCCGAGATGGTGGCACCAGCAGCGCTGTGCTGCTGACTGGCTGAATGCTGCACTGCAGCCGCCAGCAACTGTGCCTGCGCCTGTTGTAGCAATAACTGTTGCTGGGCTGGCGTCAACGTGAGCTATAAATAATTAGAAAACACAGCCATTAATAATGGAAACAGCCACTTCAGCTACAAAGTCATTAGCTTAGCCCATAACTAGTTATATTAACCAGACATGCCTAGAACTATTACTACAGTTCAGCCATTAACTAGCCAATGACTCCAGCCTTAAGTAAGGACAGCTGTCTACTCAACACAGTGTACGAACCAACCTACCACAGACCTGACATACACCAAACCGCACAAACGCCAAACATTTGCACTTACTGGAACCTACAGAACCTAACTTTACTCCTAAGTTTTCTTCACAACTCTACCAGGAGATTCAGGAAACAGGTAGTTAAGTAGCAAGCAAAAGAAAAGAATCAGTATTGCCAGGATTTGAAAGGAAATTTACACCCAGCAGAACAGCAAGTGATTAGCCAGATGAATGAGAAGCAGGAAT